GGAGGGGGGAGCGGGGAGGGAGGGGGAAAATGAGGAGCTGATGCCAGGGGCTTAGGTGGAGAGCAAATGTTTTGAGAACGATGATGGCAATGAATGTACAAATATGCTTTACACAATTGATGTATGTATGGTTTGTGATAAGAGTTGTATAAACCCCTAATAAAACAATTAAAAATATATCTGTACATAAATGTTTGTAACAATTCTATTTAGTATGCCCAAAGTGGATACAGTATCAAAAGATTCATGTATAATACAATTGAGATGTACTTATACATAGAATCTTACTCAACAATCAAAAGGAAATTATAGAGCTGAGCAATAATATAGATGACTATCAAAATATGCTGAGAGAATGGTAACTAGACACAAAAGAGTAAATTCTGCATTATCTCTCTAATATGAAACTCTAGAGTGGGTCATACTAAACTTTGTACGATCATATCAGTGCTTGCCTGACTTGAAGGTTGGGATTTCTTTCTAATTGCAAAAGAGCATAACTAAAATATCTGTTATGGTAAATGTTAAATATCTTGGATAGGAGAGTGATTCCACTAATGAACAAATATGCCAAAAAGTATTAATCTATAAATTTAAAATACGTGTGTAGATTATAGTTAAATAAAGTTGATAGGAAATAAATCAACTACAAATAAATTGGATTGAATGTTTGCAAGATTTCTACATTAAAAATATAATAAAATTGCTTTGAGAAACCGATGAAGATGGAAATAAATGTAGAGACATAACATGGTCAAAAATCAACATACTTAATATATTAAAGATGTCAATTATTTCCACACTTTTCTATAGATTGAATGTGATACACATAAAAATCTCAGAAGACTGTTTTTCTTAGATGAACAGGCTCCGAATATATGTATGAAAATGCAAAGATACAAAAATAGCCGACCTTGCAGATCATCCAACCTGAATATCATTTTTTTTAAAAAAAGAAAGAAAAGGGGGTAATAAAAGAGCAGCACACAAGAGACCTTTGGAGCAACATTAAGCAGACCAATATACATATTGTTGTATGAAAGAAATTATAGTAGAGGAGGAGGAGGAGGAGAGAGCAGCAATAGCAGTAGCGGTGTCAGTAGTAGCAGTAACAGGCGCCACCTACAGGTGGTTTTCTGGGATACTGTTACTGTTTTGATGTGAAGGATCATGCAAGTGTATATAGTTTGTTTCTCTTTGTATGCGCTATACTCCACAAATAACAGGAAAAATAATTTAAAAATTTAAAATAAATTTAAATACAAAAGAGATAGAAAAGGGTCACAGCCTTATAAACCTTCCAGTTTCCTTTCCCATGAGAACAAAACATTGGTCTGAGAGGTTATAAAAGAAGGAAAAGTAAAATTGAAACAGACTTCAATTCTTTTGTAACACGTGAGCTAGTTTCAAACAAAGAAACAAAACAAAACAAAAGGGAAGCCTGTTTCTGGCAAAAATTGCCTCCGAAAATTAGGGTGAAATTTCAACAATCCCAGATAACAAGCTAAAGTAGATCATGACTACCAAGCAGTCTTAAAGAAATGCTAAATGAAGTGCTCCAGTTGAAAGATGAAGGCACTAAATAATAACTCAACAATATGTGAAGAAATAAAGACCTTGAATAATTTCCATCACAGATAAGACGGCTTAAAAAGTTCAGGGAAAAATGCCATTGTCTTTGAGTTCCATTTTACCACGAACTTTGTGAAGGTCTCTCATAAGATCAACTTTGTTGTATCTTTGGCTTGGGACTATATTTGTGATGTTCATTCTATGTGATACAGAAGACAAAAGGATAAATAATAATGTAAATACTGGGCACATAATATACAAAAGTGTATCTTGTGAGAATAACAACATAAAGGAGGAGGGAGAATGGTATAGGAATAGAGTTTCTGTATTATTGAACTAGTTTTCCTTAGCTGCTGTTGCATTGATTCGAACTCATGGTGACTCCATGTGTGCAGAAAAACACTGCCTCATAAAGTTATTTATTTTTTATTTTATTGGGGGCTCTTATAGCTCTTATCACAATCTATATATATTCATTGTGTCAAACACATTTGTACATATGTTGTCATCATCTTTTCCAAAACATTTCCTTTCTACTTGAGTCCTTGGCATCAGCTCCTCATTTTTTCACCCTCCTTCCCCCACCCTCCCTTCCTCTCCCATGTCCCTTTGATAATTTAGAAATTATTCTTTTTTCTCCGGGTTTTACACTGACTACTGTCCTACTTCACCCACTTTTCTGTTGTCCATCCCCCTGGGAGGGGGCCATATGTTGATCATTGTGATCGGTTTCCCCTTACTGCGCCCCCCCACTTACCCTCCTAGTATTGCGGCTCCCTTTATTGGTCCTGAGGGGTTTATCTGCTCTGGATTCCCTGTGTTGCGAGTTCTTACCTGTACCAGTATACATGTTCTGGTCTAGCCAGATTCGTAAGATAGAATTGGGGTCATGGTAGTGGGGTGGGGAGAGAGCATTAAAGAACTAGAGGAAGGTTGTGTGTTTGTCAATGCTATATTGCACGCTGACTGGCTCTTCTCTTCCGTGTGGTCCTTTTGACAGGGGGTGTCCAATTGATGGGATTTGGGTCTCCACTCTACTGATGGGATTTGGGTCTCCACTCTACCCTTCCCCTTAGTCCCATTGATATGCTTTTTGTTTGTTTGTTTGTTTTGGGGTCTTTGATGCCTGATACCTGATCCTATCGACACCTCATGATCACATAGGCTGGTGTGCTTCTTCCATGTGGGCTTTGTTGTTTCTCAGCTAGATGGCCACTTGTTTATCTTCAAACCTTTAAGACCTTAGATGCTATAACTTTTTATAGCCGGGCACCATCAGCTTTCTTTTTTTAAAATTTATTTTAAAATTTAATTTATTTTTATTTTAATAAATAATTTTATTTGGAATTCTTAAAACTCTTATAGCAATCCATACATCAATTGTATCAAGCACATTTGTTTTTTTTAAATCATTTTATTAGGGGCTCATACAACTCTTATCACAATCCATACATACATCAATTGTGTAAAGCACATTTGTACATTCATTGCTTGCCCTCATCATTCTCAAAACATTTCCTCTCCACATAAGCCCCTGGCATTAGGTCCTCATTTTCCCCCTCCCTCCCCGCTCCCCCTCCCACATGAGCCCTTGATAATTTATAAATTATTGTTTTGTCATATCTTGCCCTGTCCGATGTCTCCCTTCACCCACTTTTCGGTTGTCCATCCCCCAGGGAGGAGGTCACATATAGTTCCTTGTAATCGATTCCCTCTTTCCTACCCACTCTCTCTTTACCCTCCCAGTATCGCCACTCACATAACTGGTCCTGTATGGCTCATCCGCCCTGGATTCCCTGTATTTCCAGTTCCTATCTGTACCTGTGTACATCCTCTGGTCTAGCCAGACTTGCAAGGTAGAATTCGTGTCATGATAGTGGGAGCAGGGAGGAAACATTTAGAAACTAGAGGAAAGTTGTATTTTTCATCTTTGCTACATCGCACCCTGACTGGCTCATCTCCTCCCCGAGACCCCTCTGTAAGGGGATCTCCAGTGGCCTACTAAGGGGCTTTGGGTCTCCACTCCGCACTCCCCCCATCATTCACTATGGTAAGATTTTTTGTTCTGATGATGCCTTATACCTGATCCCTTCGACACCTCGTGATCGCATAGGCTGGTGTGCTTCTTCCATGTGGGCTTTGATGCTTCTGAGCTTGATGGCCGCTTGATTACCTTCAAGCCTTTAAGACCCCAGATGCTATACTTTTTGATAGCCAGGCACCATCAGCTTTCTTCACCACACTTGCTTATCCACCCATTTTGTCTTCAGTGATAGTGTCAGGATCATCACAGAGTGCCGTGTTATTGGAACAAATTGTTCTTGTATTGAGCGAGTACTTGAGTGGAGGTCCAATGTCCACCTGCTACCGTAATACTTTATAAATAAATACATGTACGTAGATATATTCCTGTCATTGTGTATAAATATATTTACATATATACATGCCTGTATTTAGAACTCTGTAAATGAGGCAAAGGACATTCATAGAGGCCTTATAAAGTTTTTAAAGACTGTGTCCTTTCTGAAGCAGATTGCCACACCTGCTTTCTGAGGCACCTCTGGGGGTTTGGAGAAGATCCACCAACCTTTTACTTAATAGTCAAAAGCTCAACCATATGCACCATTCAGAGAACACTTGTTATTGAAGTTATGTAGCAGTTAGGGATTATGGCAACTAGACACTCCTAGGTAGGAGTGGGGTTAAACCTGACAATCAAGTGGTAGCTTAATGACACCTCTTTTGGGATATGGCCTTTTGTATAAGAGTGAGGGATTCTGCGTGCATCATCCATAGGCAGGTGAATGGATTCTGGGCTCCCAATGAATTCTAGACCCACCTCAAGAACATTTAGTTCTTATGACCTGGCCCTGCTTGATACTCACCTTCATAAAGAGATTTTTGAAGATGTGGGTCTACAGAAAGTTGTGGTGAAGAAAAGAAATGGTGCTCAGCTATCAAAAGAATAGAGTCTAGGGTCTTACAGGTTTGTATATAACAAGAAGCCTTCTAAATGAGGCATCAACTCAGCCCACAAGGAAAGAGCACACCAGTTTGTGTGATTCAAAGATGACAACAAAATCCAAATACAATGGAGGGAAAGGTTTCAGAGCTTAAATTGTGAACACTCAATTTTTAGAAGGCTACAGAGGACAATGGGAGCCCCCAATCCATCTACAGAGTATCTATTCAGATTAAACTTCTAAAAGATCCCCTTGGACTACAGGGATACAAATAACCTTGCTATCAGACAGAGATTATTGTAAACTTGATTGTGGTGGATGAAACTACAGTGTAATATGATACCTAGTCATTTTTTCTCCCTCTTGATCTATTCTGGAATTTTTCTAGGTTTAAATGTGTTTTGCTTATTTCTTGAAAGAGCTTTTCTCTCTGGCTTATTTAAATATTTTCACTTTCTTTAATACACACACACAGAGTTTTCATTCTTTTTTGGTAATGTTTTCTAGTTTATGGAGCACAGAACGGGTGGACGTATAGAGAAAATAATCGATGCATTAGCTTATGAGGGATAAAGAGGAGGTTGAGAGGAATTGGGGATCAAATAATGAATATGGGAGTGGGGAGTATGCATGAGAATGGATTGTTTTGTTATATACAACTCTTTTTAACTATGACTGAACAATGAAATTATATAATATGTGAGTTATATATTAATAAACTATTGAAGGAAAACAAGTGAGGCACTCTGGGAAGCTCTCTCTCTCTGCCCCTATGCCTGCTGGAACTCTGCTTTGAGGGGTGGCCCCATTTGGACCATCCAGTCCTTAGAACTGCTAGTGCCCTACCATGTTTCCACTTACCTTGGCTCCATGGGACTCTGAACTCACCAACCTGTGATCTTTCTGCTTCCTGGTTCACCATTCTGTGTCACTGGTACTCAGCTACCTGAATCTGAAGAGGGATTTATGGACTAGCATTGGACTTATAGATGGGTTGGACTGGGTGGGGATAGCTTCTTGATATAAAGCTTTTTCTTATACATGCTTGTGTGATACTGGGTTTGGTTCTCTAGGCAACCTGGCCAAGCCCAAATTGATATAAATTTAATTAAGCTGTTAAAAAATTAGAATGGTAAATATATTCCCCATTGTAGCCACAAAGAAAATTACTTTAAACCTATGCAGAAAGGAAATATGAAGGGAATCAAAATGACTCACTATACACCCACACAAAACTAAAACACAAAGAGCGCAATATTTGAGGAAATGATCAGTTAGAACTTTTAGATATATATAGAACACTCCACCCAACAACAGTATAATATATATTCCTTTTCTGTGCACATGGACTCTTCTCCAGAATAGACCATATATTAAGGCACAAAGCAAGTCTTAATAAATTTAAACGCATCAGATCACAATGCTATAAGATTAGAAATCAACAACAGGAAGGCCAAGGGGAAAAATCAAATTCATGAAAACTGGATAACACCCTCCTTAAAAATTACTGGATAATACCCCCCCCAAATCCATTACTATAAAGTTGATTTTGACTCACATTGACCCTATAGGACAGAGTAGAACTATTCCATTGGGTTCCTGAGATTGTAAATGTATACATGAGCAGGCAGCCTCATCTTCCTCCCTTAGAGAGGCTCGTAGGTTTGCTCTGCTAACTTTTCAGTTAGAAACCCAAAACTTATCTCATAGCTCCACCAAGGCTAATGGATGATGATGCATAGATACCACTGCTGACTACTCCCAAACGGGATCACATCAGAAAGTCCTAGATAGAGTGGGAGAAAAATATGCAACAAAACTTAAATTCATTAAAAAATGACTGGTCTTACTGGTCAGATAGAAACTGGTGGAATCCCTGAG